AATCTCCTATTATTTTCTTGCGCTAGGTCTCAGCGGTCACCCACTACTGCAAACGAAGGAGTACGTATGGAATCAACATGCGATGTAGGAAAGTATTCACTGTTGTGATCGAGATTGTCCTTGAAGCGTTCGAAAATAGTTTATTGGCAACATAAACCGATTCACACCACTTGACGGTTCTATGTACGCAGCTACACTTGAGTTATAAGCGCATGGTCCCCTTTGCGCACAACCGCAATCAATAAGTCACTGGTGTCTTAGCTTTTAGTGTCTTTAAATAGATTTCTTAGTGTACTTATTTTTTGTTAACAGGGGGAGGGGTCTTTGACCAGAGTGGTTGTATCTTCCGATGTGTCATTTTTTAATATTTTATGAAACAAGGGAATTGGTGTAACCCTGATTCCTTTAGTTTTGGGCCGAAGTAATGCTTTTGACACTGGTCTTTTCAACTAATCTGATGGTAAACTGAACTGCGAACAAGAAGAACATTTGTTTACAGAAAACTCTACGAAAAATTTCATCATTTCTCCTGCTCAGTGGTCCATTGGAATTTCGTAGGTGGCTTGCCGATAATAAGGATTAGTAGGTCAATATCTCTGGAGAGGCAGCGTCCACTGGAACACGTTCCTTTCAAAGAACAGTTCTGCTTGCCCATCATCAGACGCTAATGGATCTACTAAAGCGCCCGTAATGGAAAGAGTCATTTTGCCCCTTCGGCAGATCGCCACTACCGACTGAGTATCAGTGTTCGCACCCGGTCTGTCCTCTACAAGATTTACTGGATCATCTGAGTTATTGTCAAACGTGAACGCCATGTAATCCATTGAAGTAAAAACGCAACTATTAACCAACCCGTCATCTGACAGCTACGTCTCATGCAGTTATCTCGCCGAGTGGTGATTACATCCGCAATCTCACCAAAAACCTATTCTAGCCTCTACTGTTTCTTTTGCTATCATGCTCTCTGGACCTGCACTTTTTACTGCGATCAATTGGACATATCTCAAACATGAATTGCTGCAGGCATATAAATAGTTTATTATTTTTCTACGATGTGGCTCATTGCGTTCTTCCAAGCGTTCCCCTAAAGGCTTATAATCCAAGCACCGACATGAACTGAATACGGTAACCTACTCATAGTTATCTCCCCTCAATTTATCTGCATAAATATCGCATGAAGCAGAATTGGTCATCTTTCGTACACAAATTATTATTCGCCTTTATTTCGTTGCACATTGTGGAACGAACTTTGTGCACATTACGGAGCACTTCGTATGCTTCGATCTTGAAGTGTTTCAGCTGACTGTGACGATGTGCGCAAGGATAATATAGACAGGGTAAAGTAAATTGGCTATATACTGAGCTGGTTTGTGCTTACGTTGAACTCTTCGATCAGGATGAACGCCAGTAGTGGGTTACAAAATAGCCAGATAGGGAGACAAAGCAAGTACAACTTTTTATGTGCGGGCAAGCGCGTGCCCACATGAGCAATCTAAACATGACTTACTTCGAGCCAATCAATGAAAAGGAAACTATCGATAGACAGCAAACCTGAGAGCATAACGTGCAGGAATTTTTACCGATACCGGGGAACATTAGAGGCTAGCATCCGCAATACAATTAAATCGGGGCTCTATAAAACCAAATTTAGACAAATCAATAACCAAAGGAAATGGGTATTTAAAGTACGTCACCTTTTGAAAGTAAACTAAGCAAGTTGGCTGATTGAACTCGTTTGAGTAAGCGTCTTTTCTGGATATGTAAGTTAACTATTTCATAGAGTTTGTAATTATGTATGCTCAGATTCTCCATTAGATTAACTGCTCTTATAACTTTTGCTTCGTTATTTCGTGAAGCTTTGCAGCAAGACTTTCTGAGAACGCTGATATATCAACGGCGTATTTCCTTTTTAATAATCGCGAAGCCGTTTTCCTTATCCCACCTCCAGATGAAAGCATATTACTTCTATTTAAATTTTCTAAAACTGCACAATATCAAGAGATTCAGTACCCAAATAAACTGGTCTTTTATCCATCTGGAATTACCCGTAACTTAGGGTATGCACGTTCTCAAACTGAGTTTTGTGTACATTTCATATTTGCCAATAACACTTGATAAATATTGAACAAGTTTGAGTCTGCAGCATATTCAAACTAAAATTACGCATGCAAAAAACGCAGTAATGTGTGTTTATAAGAGGGGACATATGTATCGGTTGCTCATTCAATGTTTCCAGGAGATTGATGGGATCTGCCGTTTTGAGTTTACAGATACAATACGCATTTAATGACAGCTAACTATAAGCTTTTGCAATAAAACGCTTTTCTAACATTGGCAAGTTAGTTTGCTGGCCGGAGGGCGGATGCAATTGGCTCATAGCTACTTAAAACTGGAAGTTATCTCAAGTGGCCTGTTTATATGCGTATCCTTTGCGGATTTCTCATTCTAGGTAGACTTCCATCCCAGGGAGGCCAAAAAGTACAACGAACTCGTCGTCTTACGTGTTGATAATGCTAAACCTACCCCAAGCGAAAAAGCGTCCCGCCCCTCAGAAAACTTACAACAGTCGAAAACGATGGCGGAACCTGCTGATACGCCAATCCACCTAATCGGAGTGGCTGTTGACAGAGTCATAAAATTCTCAACAGTAGGCTGCGATGGTAGTTGGACAGAACTAGACACCATTTCCCCCCTGCCACTGCAGTCTCCGAATGCAGACGCACATTTAATAGATATCAACGCAGTTGGAGCAGGCTCCAGAGCCTCGAGGTTTGTGAAATAGTAAATGTCTGTAAAGGCTCTTTAAACTTCGATAATGTTTGTTTTTTTTTGTGACCCCTGGGTCCATTGAAAGTCTAATCAGTTAAGTTGGAGTTAAAGTCAACGTTTTTTAAAATTATGGTACTTTAATTAAATCCAGTCCTTAACGGGACAATAAAGTGCACAGTTTGCTTCCAATGTCACGAAACATTGGCTGTGCCCACAGTCCTAAATGACTCTTCAAGTTAGGTTGTGATACTATTGAAGACAGAAGGTCCTCTGAAAACAACTCATACAGATAACATGCGGCTTCTGGCCGGATAGGTTCTCAGCCGTCTCTGAACCTCACATTTCGGAAGAGAATATATAGCTAACGCACGTCGTCAGATTTATATCAGTTGATGTAATTTTCAAGACAGGATACAAAATATTTATTATAATATCTCTGACCCTAGGATGAAACAAACCCAAGGATCTCAGTGGGGCGCGAGCCGGCGAGAGTAAAAGTGCGGGGCTGGTGTACAGCTAATGCTCTAACCACCTGAAGAACGAGGAAGGAGACCTCTGATGAGTGGACGTGAAAGCAGTATGAAATTGAGGACGTCTAGGCGTCTGAGCGTCGCGCCGAGGATGACAGGCGTTAGTGGGGGAAGAAGAAAGATCAAAAATGAGGCTTATTACTAACCTAACTGGGTCGAATCTGGCCGAGGTAGAGTAATTTATGAATGCAACGAACATGTTCTCAAATTTAAACGTGACTCTGAAATTTGACAAAAATAGTAGACAACGTTTACAACGAATCAGATGAGGTATAAAATGGTTATGGAGGAGAGTTTTGGACTGAAATAAACTCAGCTGCATTCAAGCAAACGAAGAATTAAGATAGGGCAGGACACCGGAATAAGTACTCTTCCGTGAATTTGGCGTTAAGTCAGCTGTTATACGTGGGTGTGTTCATTTCCGTGTCCAGCCCTTAACCTCTAGCCTAACCATACCCCCTTTGACATTTGACGCGAGGCCGTCGGTATTACGAGGACACCTATCGTGCCTCACTGCGGTGAGAAAGAAAGACGCTAATTCCCAGTTTGCACCTCACTCGACGAGATCCGGCCATATTTTCAAGTTAAACGAGGCCGAAATCCCCGCAATAAGTGACAACCACGTGAGCCGCGAGCTGCTGGAGTCATGGTTCTCAAGTCCACAGTCCATCAACAAGCGCAATAATCTGTCGTTCCCATACTGCGTACTGAGACATTGCCTAAGCAAGAGAATCAGTCACGTGGGAAGGGCCGGACCCAGCAACAACTCTGACGACAGCGAGCACAATTGTCGCGCAATTATCAAGCCCACATCCGACGCGGACAACGAAATCGCGGAAACAGATGAGTCGAACGCGGAGTGTCAAGTCATCACCGCACCAATTAAGACCCCAAGCGGTGGCTACAGGAGCGGATAATTATAGTATGCACGAGGATGACCGCTACGAACTATAAATACAGTGCAATCTGTGCATTATCACCCCCATCTACGCATGTCTTAAACTATCCTATGGTTACCTATGGTTAAGGATTCTCGACAGAATCCGAAACGTCAGGAGAATAAAATCCTTATTGCACTGATCGCATCTTCTTCTTCTGAACTGCTTCCTGAAACTCGGATATTCACTTCTATCGATACTATTTTCCCTGTCGTACCGGCATACTTTAGCTGACATAAAACCCATCCGCCTAGCAGAACCGGAGTTTAGCTGCAGGTTTTCTAGCAGTTTATGTATATGCCGCCTACCAGCATCGATCTTAACCCTGCGGGACGTGGTGGTAGGGCTCCGCATAAGTTCATGAAGCAGCCACCTAATTCTGGCTGGTTTCCTGAACATGGCCTGCGGGTCAGTATTTGGTCAGCCTTTGAATTTATGAAAGGGCTTACCTCTTTTGGTCTTTCTGAGCATCCCATGAGCCCAAGTTAACATGTACGGTGCATTTTTTGATCCCTCTTGATGACAGAACAAAATTCAAATTAGTCCTCGTACTGCGTCCCTCTCCCCCTGAACTCAGGACGAACAGGTGAAAGTGACTCGCACGCGAAGGAATATATCCGATCGCAGCCAACAGATGAATATGGTGCTCGCATGCTAGAGTAGCTGACTCAACGACCAACTGGAGCCGGGCCCTGATTCGGGTCTGCTTTCTCTGGAGTTTGGGCAAGAATGAAAGCCTATATTAAATAAACTAGGAATTTCCACCCATTATCTTCCTTCTGGGTCCTGAATAAATCACTCATTCGCAAATTCATTCTGCGCGCGTAAACTGGATACTTATCATATTGCAAAGAAAATGAACTGAGACAAGAGACTACCGTCAGAGACTGTGAAAAGGCCACAACAAGTTAGCACTTTTTTTTGTCAAACAAAGAGGAATGAGGCGGGGGTAGGGGTGGTGTTCGCGGTAAGACTGAGTTCTTTTGCTTACACTGAAGATGACCAAGGTCTGGAGCACCACTGGACGTCTACAAGGGAAATGAAGTAAAATGAATGGCGCCGCACGCCGAGCGTTCATTATGAAAGAACTGTGTCCATTCAAACAGACGTATGTTCAACATGCTGACTGGTGCCTGATCAGGCAATAACTCAGACCTCTAATGTGCAACATCGGCTTTTGCTCCTCGACCGAAATGAATGTGACTTTTAGCCTTATCAAGCAACGGTACCTTGTCTCTAAAATGGACTGTAAGCAGCAACTTCGCCCTATTAAGGGATCCAGAAGAGCTTTTGTGCGTGGCTCCGTTTCCGAGGTATCGTTTTGAAAGCGCTGCGGGCGAATTAGCCCCGGCAGTTATTATGGGAGAATTTTTTTCAAAAAAACGCGGCTCATTTTCTACGTACGCTGATCCTCTGATATGAATTGTTATCACGTAAGGGGAAGGTAAACATATACATTTTTGTTTTACTTGTCTACTCGCTTAGGAGTCTCATCATCACGAACACCAGTCAGACATCCTATCGCATCCACTTTCGAGCCGTCAAAAAGGCAGCGGTGAAACTTGATAAAATCGTATCGTTTTCTCCTGCCTCCGCCACATTGGAAGCCGGATGCAGTGAACAGGTGAGTCCACATTATTCGCTTATGTGCTTTCTATAAATAAGCAACCTAGCATATTTTTTCAGTGCGAATGCTGAATGTTTGCAGTTCTTTTCGTTGTTGTTGATAAGTGACCCAGCAAGCCCCAAGCTTGAGGAGAGGGTTTATTTTACTTAGCTTCACTGGTTAAGTCCCACTCACTTATAAACTAAAAGCTGGAACGGAACTCAGATGGAGTTTACTGAAGCTGGTTAGTCCACCAGAACACCATTGCAAGGATCCCACCGGCTAAGACAGTCCAAAGAACCTATGGATATCCAGCAATTTTTTCCTTTTTAATCGCAG